CTAATTTTTGGGACCCTAGGCACAGGCCTCACTGGCCTTAGCCTAGGGCCGGCCCTGATTACAAAAATAAAAATAAAAATTCGTATCTACTCAAAATATAATACAAGTTTCATAAAATTATATTGGGCTCTATTAAGTTTTTAATTCATATAAGACTTGACTCATTTTTCATCATAAATTTGCTAATCATATGAATAAAAAAATAATATTGTCATTTTCTTATATTAAAATGTGTGTATATATATATATATATTTGTTTTCATACCGTCTGTATTAATTTGTATTTCATTAACTTTATTAAAAGAGAGATTAGTGTAACAAAACATGTAAGTACCAAATTATACCACCAACACAAAAAACAAAAAAAATGTAAACTAACTAAATTATACAAATTTAATGTCAAATATCATTTTAAATTGACATTGAATTTGTATAATTGGTTGGTTTACAATTTGGCATCAGAAAAAAAAAAATAAAATGAGATATTATTTAGTTGCTACAATTGCATATATATATTTAGTAGTTACATATATTTTTTAAGTATTATATGATTGTTACATGTTATATAATTAAATTGTCGTTTGTTTTAAGTATTTCAATTTGAACATTGATTTACTTTTAAAATTTGTTTATAGTGATTTTGAGAAATACAAATATTGTAGAATTCAATTTTCATACAATTTTTGAATTTTTTTTAACTAATCATGCTTATTAAATTTTTGAGTAGATATGAATTTTAATTTTTTTTGTTTTTTTAACAAAACCCTTAATTTTTGAGGAGAGGCTCATCATCTTGGTTTCAAAATGAATTTTTAAAATTAAAATAAATAAATAAATCCACATTGCATAAAGTGAAAAAAAAAATATATATATATATATAGTTAAACGATACCGTTTGTTGTCATGTCACAGCACAGTGTTGTGACAACACGGTCCATTTAAACAATACTTATCGAGGGGGATAAGGGGGTGCTACTGCTGTGCCTCAAGGCACAGCACAGCAGTTATTGTTGTCCCTTTTGGAAGGTATTTTCGAATATTTTTCGATAATCTGAATCGTTGATATTGTAAGATTTGTCAAAAATATTATTTTTATAAAAAATTAAATTAATCGGATATTCATAACCTTATGATTAGATCCCAAATGTTTAAAAAATTTATGAAAGTTATGTTAACCATTAATTTTTATAGAAACAAATGTGTTTTGGTTTTAGGGTTACAGATATTCAATCAACTTGATTTTTTGTATGGATGATCTACTCAATGAACTCTACAATATGAACAATTCAGATTATCAAAAAACATTTGGAAAAACCTCTCCCAAAAGACACAACAGTAATTGTTGTGTCTTAAGGAACATCAACACTCCCTCTTCGTATCGAGAGAGACTACGGGATTGTTTGGGATGATCTAAATAAGTACACTTTTTATTTTTTTACGAAAAGATGTGCAAAAAAGTAGAGAGGTAATATGATAAAAAAAAATAAAAAGATAAAAAGATGAATTATTTAAAGGACTTCTCAAACTTGGCCTACATACCATGAAAATTGTGCAACGAAGTAGGACCAACCTCACTTTAAAAAATTAAGAAAAAAAAAAAAACAGTGTTGGTGACTAATTTGGAGACTCAAAACATTTTTGGTATTTCTAGATTTTAGAGTTAATTTGGGAACATAATTAAAAGTTAAATTTTCACTTTTAACTTATTTTGAATCAGATTATCTTTTTATGTTTTTTACATAATTTAAAAAAAAAATCAAAAAATCAATTTTTAACTAACTTTTCAAAATGAGCCTTAGCCATACCTACTAATCTACATGGATCTGCCTTACAAATAATGGCAAAGAAAGGGCTAACGTGGCCATCTGATTTCTGTGGTTTTGGTTTGGGTCATTTGTATGGGGTGCCGTAATTGAGGAGGCCCACTTCCACACATTTCATGGGCCTTCTAATGGGTTTCCACGAGGAAAAAGAAAATATATATCTTAAAACCTCTATTAGTCTGTTAGGTTTAAATTTTGAATTTGTACAAAAAAAAAATAATTCAGAAATTATTATTATTTTTCTATAAATATAAAATTCAAATATACCCTTAAATAAGAATATTTAGATATTGAATTTGTGAAGAAAATAAAAAAAATAAAATAAAGTGAAATGAGTTAAGTTCCGTTTGAGAGGTGATTTTTTTAATAATTCTTTACTAAAATATGAGATGAAAAAATCGATCACTTTGTTTGGTTTTAAATTTTCAATAACAATTTTTTGAATTTTCACAAAAAAGAAAAAGATAATTACTTGAAATAGTGTGTTTTTTTTTTTTCCACCAAATTAGTTTTTATTGTTTATTTTTCATAAGGGCCAGGCTTGTCTCTAATATGAGATTGGACTGAAATATGATGTTGGGCTCGTGGAGGCTCATCACGGGTCTTGTTTTGATGATCTTAACTGTTCAATATGTAAAGATTGTCGAATAATTTATCTTCGTAAAAAATCACGTAGATCGGATATCGATAGCAATTGATCGGATCAAATTTATGTTAACAGGTAAATATAATTTTTAAATAAATTATTGACAAAAATCTGATCTGATCAAATAGTTATCGATATTTAATTAATGTAATTTTTAACATGAATAAAGTACTTAACGAGTTATACACATTTAGCGGTTCGAATTATTAAAATAGTACGTGTGATAAGCTCCATAATATCATCTTCATAAACCAAATTTATCCACCATTTTTTATTTTTATTTTCCAAATTTATCCACCATTTTTTATTTTTTTTAATTTATAGTTTCCATTATTGGAACGTGACCTTTTTCATAAACCAAATTTATTAATCCACCATTTTTTTTTTTTTTAAATTATAATTTCCATTATTTGTACATAGACATGTATACCTTGCACTCATGGATCGGCATGTCCACCATCTGCTTATTTGGTCTTCAGGTAATTAATCCCCCTAAATTTCAAGTATATGTTGAGGGTTTAAATCTTGATATATCAAATATGTTTCTATATCTTCTCTTGGACTTGTTTGTTTGTTTGTTTTTTTTTTTCTGATTTTTTTTTATTTTTTATTTTTTTTGTCTGCGCGCGTGTGTATGATAGTTTGTTGCCAATTCTCAAAAGGATAACTCTCCCCGCACTTCCAAATTATGAATAGAGAGTAATGTATACTTCCGAGGAGAGAAAAATGCTTTGGAGTACTAATTAGTACTCCTACTAATTAGGTGACAGTGGGTCCTGCTATTAATGATGTGATGTTTTGATTTTGGAGTTATATATATATATTTTTTTTTACTTTTTTAATATATTAATGCTATTAGTAGTGATATTTTTAATGGAATAAATCATTGTTGTTGCAGCGAGTATAATGATTTTAATAATACGAGACAGTGGGGGCTACAACTATTTTGAATTTCACTTGACAGCGCCAATTCCTTCCTACACAAGTTTCCAGAACTTTTGCTTTTCAATGTTTCTAAATAGGATAAATTATAAACATACCCTAAAGTTTGCTTAAATTATAAAATATTTTTGTAATTTTAGAAATTATATTATATCTTTAAGATTTTTAATTTCATAACAAATAGGTCTTTTTTTAATAAATCATAAAGTTAATTAACAGTTTTTAATAATGTTAAAATTTTAGTTCAATTAATAATTCAGATAATTTTATTATTGTATAGGTGAACAATTAGAAATTTCGACTTTTCAATTAATTCTGTTAAATAAAAAAGAAAAATGCTTCAGACCCCCACTGGGGGTCGACCCCCAGTGAGGTGGCGCGTCATGATTGGACAAAAAAAATTGTTTTATTTATTTTTTATTTTTTTGAATTTCAGCCAGTGGGGGCTCGCCACCTCACTGGGGTCTGCAACAGAGTTGAATAAAAAATTCTGGCATTGAGGTATTTGTAATTTTCCAAACTACAGGGTGTAATTCGTATTTTAAGCAAATCTTAAGAAATATATTTGTAATTTACCCTTTTAAATATGATTAGAAATTGAATACTCCAATATTAATATATATCAAAAGAATAATATTAGAAATATCAAAAATTCTATTAAAAATTCTATCAAATGTTTTATATAGATGTGAGACCTACACAATGTGAGTTCCACATGGGTCTCACACCTATGTGAGATATTTAATAAAATTTTTAATATAATTTTTAAGGTTTATAACATTTTTGATATTAAAATAATATATAAAATCAAAGACATTTTTCATTAATTATTTTTATTTTGAGAGTTTTTATCAAACTATTTAGGGGCATTTTGGCAAGTTGGTAAAAAATTAATTTTTTGACTTTTTGAAATTTTTAAGTTACATCACTTCTCTATTTTTTTACATCTAAAATGTCAAAAAACTACAAAAACAAGCCAAAAATTTTTTACCATCTTCTCAAAATATCACTTTTGCATGTAATTTATTAGACATAAATAATCTAATTAAACTGAAGAAAGTTAGAAAGTTAACTATCTAAAAGTGGGTTTTGATTTATGAAAAATGCTTGGGAGCACTAAAAGGGGATCACTAAAGGGAGCACTAATGATGTGGCTGTGGGTCCTGCCTTACTTTCTATGCCTTGTTTTTATTTTTTTATTATTTTTTTTACCATTCTCAATGTATTAGTGCTATTAGTGGTGTATTTTTTAGTAGTATAAATCATTGTTGTTTAATTTATGCTTTCTCATATCAACTTTTAATAATGCACTGTATCAACCAAAATTTGATTTTAATTTAAAATTTGTATCAAACTGTTTAATATAATTTATTCTTATAACTTTAAACAAAAATAATTTAAATAAACTGATTATATCAAAGATGAGGGAAAAATATTTATTAATTATAAATTACACCAAACATACACTGGGACAATAAATGATAATTTCTATAAACTTTTTTTTTTTTTTCTTTCTATTGAAATTCTTTTCTGAATTTCATTGTAAATAAAACAACACAACAATGATCACAAAACCCACTCAAACATTAATGAAACCCCACCATATTATCATTTCAATTTCAACTTACACAACACACTCTCTCTTGTTGTGCACACAAGTGTGCTCTCCAAATACAAGACAGTGTCACTAGGTAAAGTTATCTGAAGAGAAAGTGTGAAGAAACCTAACCACAGAGAGCCCATTTGGATCGAAGAAACGAAATGGGTATGTTGGTTTTGGTTTTCTCAGCAATTTTGGCATCAACCCTTCTCAGCTCTCTCTCTCTTGCTCTCAACCCAGATGGTATAATATCTCACATTTCCCATTTGTTCTGTTTTTGTTTTTTTTTTTGTTTTTTGGTTTTTTTACTTTCAAATTTATGTCCATTTTTTAGCAACAATCTTTTTATTGTTAGGGATTGCATTGTTGGAAATTAAAAGCACATTGAATGATACTAACAACTCTCTCAGTAACTGGAATGATTCTGATGAATCTCCTTGCAAGTGGACTGGTGTCTCTTGCAATCCCCATGACCAAACAGTTCTCTCTATGTATTTCTCTCACAACCATTTCTCATTTATTCACATTTAAAAAAAGAAAAAATATATATTTATTTATTTTTTAACTCTATTTTTTGATTTGGGTTGTGAAGAAATTTACCTTATATGCAACTTGGAGGGATTATTTCACCAAGCATTGGCAAACTCAGTAGATTACAAAGACTGTAAGTGCAACTAAAACCCCTTATAGATTGTCCCCATTTTTGAAAGTAACATATAACAAGTTATGATGTTACTTTCCCATTTTGTTTTTGTTTTTTGTTTTTCAACCTCAGGGCACTTCACCAGAACAGCTTACATGGTGTTATTCCTAATGAAGTTACCAATTGTACTGAACTCAGAGCCCTGTAAGTGAAAATCAATTTCTCTCTCTCTCTCTCTCTCCCCTGATTGATTGTGTATATTCCATGTTTGCCCCTTTTTGCATTAATTGTATACATGTATGAAAATAAATCACATACATTACATTATTGTGTATAGGTACTTGAGGGCTAATTATCTCCAAGGAGGCATACCATCTGATATTGGGAATCTTTCTTTACTCACCATAATGTAAGACATTTCTTTCATTGCTCCTTTTGGTTAGAAAAATAGGGTAAATTACACATACAGTCCCTAAAGAGTACCACTGATTTCATTTTGTGGTCCCTAATATTAAATTTGTATCAATTGAATCCGTAAATGTCACACATAAATTCTATTGAGTCCCATACCCTACCCGTCGCTTAAAAAACATATGAAAAATGCTTATGATGTCAATCTAACATCAGGCATTTGAAGGGCATTAAAAGGAATCTATCCCATTTTCCATCTAAATGAACTGGGGGACACTTGAAATGCACATTATTTGCAAAATAAACACATCAAAGTTTTTCACTTTATTACCGAATACACAGCATGTTTGACTCATTGATTGATGGTATATGGCATAAATACATGTGTTAAAATGTCCTTTATGCCCTTTTATGCTTGATCTGAGACTGCTGTAGGCATTTTTCATCTGTTATCTAGACCACAGTAAGGGAAGGGACTACATTGGATTAATGTGTAAAGTTTAGGGATGCAATTGATACAAATTAAAGATTAGGGACAAAAATGAAATCATTGGTCTACTTAAAGGACTATTTGTGTAATTTACCCAAAAAATAAAAATCCTCAATTCATAACCTTATATGATATCATGAATTTCAGATTATGTTTCACTGTATCTTATATGAACACATATTATGGGTTTTAATCTTCATATATATATATATACATGTATGTATATATATATTAAAAACATTAATGGAAATTCAATGCAGGGATTTGTCAAGCAATTCACTTAAGGGTGCCATACCTTCATCTCTTGGCCGTCTAACACGCCTTCGCACTTTGTAAGTTCTGTTCTGGCAGTGTGACATCTGTTTTTAATTTTATGGATTGTAAAGTAATTTTTGATACTTTTAATATAATAATGTGAAGTAATTTATTTCAGGAATTTATCTACAAACTTTTTTTCTGGTGAAATCCCAGAAGTTGGGGTACTAAGCACTTTCGGAAACAAGTCGTAAGTTCCCTTATCATCAATTCAACTATGTCTATATGATGTCAATTCTCTTCTGATTGGTGTAGAAGCCAATCTTTAAGTTATTGAAGATTAACTGGTGGTACATTTGATAAATGCTTTCACAATTGAACGATTTTATGTCTCTTCAATTCCCAACAACTTAACATATATGTTGAATAAGTTAGAAGCCTTGAATTGCTGCCCTGCTCTGTTAGTTGAGAATCGCCGAGAATCCTAAAAAAGTCAAAATTTGTGGTTGTAGATGGCAACAAATCTCGAACCACCTTCTATAATCTCTTTCTTGATGTAAATGTGAAAACTCCCAACATTTTAGGGTTATGAAAGATTAACAAGTGAAATAGAAAGACAGATATATCTGATTGGTAACAAAGTTGTCTGGTAGTTAGCAATCATTATCATCTTGTTGCTAATATATATATAATTTTACAAAAAGTTATTGCTAAAATTTAGATAATTGATAAAATGTTTTGAACTTAATGTGATAAGAATCTGGTAGCATATAATTTGCAGAATGCTGGTCAATTTGGTAACTTTTGTTAATCATCATTTCCTTTCTTTCGCTAGTTTTCCTTTTTCCACAGTTTATAGTTTTGAGCTTATTTTGAATGCCGGTTGTTTGTGCCTAGGTTTATTGGTAATTTAGACCTTTGCGGCCAACAAGTGAACAAGCCGTGTCGAACATCACTTGGGTTCCCTGCAGTTCTACCCCATGCTGAAAGTGATGAAGCTGCAGGCGAGTTGTAGATCAAACTCTTTTGGCACTTCAACCAAATGAGAAATAATCCAAGTAGCACATTTTTTAAACTAATAATTGTAGATTTCCCATTGGTGTGATTTTTGCAGTACCTCCAAAGCGACCATCTCATTTTATCAAAGGAATACTGATTGGTGTAATGGCCATATTGGGTCTTGCAATCATTATCCTCCTTATTTTCCTCTGGATTTGGTTGCTATCGAAGAAGGAAAGGGCTGCTAAGAAATACACAGAAGTCAAAAAACAAGTTCAACAAGAAACTAGTAAGCTGTTTTTTTTTTTTGGTTGAAAATTTTATGTTCTCTTTTCATTTTTCTGTATCCGCTTAACTTCTTACACATTGATAGGCACCAAGCTTATCACTTTCCATGGTGATCTTCCATATCCATCTTCTGAGATCATAGAAAAGCTCGAATCTCTTGATAAGGAGGATGTTGTGGGATTTGGAGGATTCGGTACTGTCTATCGGATGGTCATGAATGATTGTGGTACATTTGCTGTTAAGCGGATTGATCGAAGTCGTGAAGGGTCAGATCAAGGTTTTGAGAGGGAGCTAGAGATTTTAGGGAGCGTCAAGCACATAAATCTTGTCAATTTGAGAGGGTACTGCAGGCTTCCTTCTGCAAAGCTTCTTATATATGATTATTTGGCCATGGGAAGCTTAGACGATTTCTTGCATGGTATGTTTCATTTCTTGGAGTAACAAGTTCTTTTCTCTTTGTGATGGAGGAACAAAATGCAGTTTATGAAATTGATCCTCTCTGAATCTTCTAAGCACCAAACACCCATATTTTTTTCTTTAGAAGTATATTGAAATTACACCTATATTCATGACAAGATGTGTGCAGTATTGCAATCTCAGAAAAGAGTTAAGAAATGTCTGGTGGTGACTTAAATGACCTCAATGCATTTTGGTGTGTCATTTAAGCTTTTCTTTAATGATTGAAATTTCTTCCCATCAATTTCTTTATATCTTTATTTTTGGGTTAATTTCACTTTTGTCCTCTATTGTATTTTTTTATTTTATTTTATTTCATCCCTAAGCTATCAATTTCTCCTAGTTAGTACCTAGAGTTTTTATTTTAGTTCATGTGGTCCAATTGGAGACGCCTGTCCCAATCAATAACAGTGGAAGCTATCCTAAAAGGGAAAAAAAGAAGTTAATTTTACTATTTGGACAACCTAAATTATATAACCAAACACCCTTTTTCTTACTCACACTATCAAACAACTTACACCCTACAACCAAACATCCATCATCTTCTCCACCCCTCTACATCCCTCACCCTCTCCCTTTTTCCTCACCATCACTTAAGTTGTTCAAATTCTAAAAATACCTTTTTGTTTATCAAATTAGGCTTCAATGCTTATTGATTTGGACAACCATCTCCAATTGGACCACATGAGTTGAAATTAGAAACTCTTAGTACTAAATAGATGAAACTGATAGTTTAGTGATAAAATCGAAAAAAATGGCAATAGTTAAGGGGAAAAAAGGAAAATTAACCATTTATTTTATAATCATCAGAGAATTCAAATAAAGTACGATTTCATTTGGCAATTGGCTTTTTTAGCCAAAAAGTCAAAAAGTCACTAAAAAAATCAAAAAGTAACAACTCATACCAAAAAGTCAAAGATTCTATTTTCTCTCTACTTTTTGCACATCTTTTCGTAAAAAGCTAAAAAGTCATCCCAAACATACTAATTTTTTTTACATCACATTTTAGCCAAAAAGTTACTAAAAAAGTCTATTCCCAAACGAGGCCTTAAGTTACATTTTTTGGACCCAACACACTGCTTCAGTAGAATGCACAATATTCTTTGAGAAGAACATAATCTCTTCTACATCTAATAGCAACTATGCGTCCAGCACAAAGTATTGCCTTTTGATCTTGCTAATGTTGTCTACCTTTTCTTCCTTAGAACATGGAGAAGAAGAGCGATCCTTGAACTGGAATGCACGTTTAAGGATAGCACTTGGTTCTGCCCGGGGTTTAGCATACTTGCACCATGACTGCTGTCCAAGGATAGTTCATCGCGATATAAAGTCTAGCAACATACTCCTTGACGAAAACCTAGAACCTCGTGTTTCAGACTTCGGCCTTGCCAAGCTTTTGGTAGATGAGGATGCTCATGTCACGACTGTGGTTGCTGGAACGTTTGGTTATTTGGCACCAGGTGTGTTTTATGCTTTTTATTTACTTGGTGCCTTAATATTGCTTATTCAGGGTAAAGATTTTAGTTGCAAAGCATTTTCTTTTGAGCAATTTTTGTCATGAGTATCATTTACTCTGCTGTGTTTTCTTAACTGCAAAATGGTCTGATTGTAGGATGTCTTTGGTTGTGGACTTGCCTTTGAATTTATTTTAATTTTTAAGAACAAAATACATGGATTGATGGCTTTTAGGCGGTCATGTTGTGAGTGTCTCGAATTTAATCTGGATTATGCTTATTACCCGTCAGTGATCTGCACAACCTGATAAGTGGCCTCCGCCCGCTAGGTTCAACCCAGTATTTGTTTTGGGTCTATTATGACCCGGTTCCCTACCTTTCAGATCCTTGTATATATTGGGTTTCTTAGGGATTCTAGGGTTTATGGTATTTAGAGTCTGTAACAGAGGGATGTGTTTAGAGAGCCAGCTCATTGTATTCTCCACATCCATTGTGAAATTCTTTTGCCCTTTTTTGCCTGTGGACTTATAGCCAAACAATGTAAATCCTTTGTGTGCTTGCGTGATTGTTCTGTTCTATCTTTTCTCAATTTCTGGACAGATGAAAAAACCAGTCTACCATGCAGCTCACTGGAAAGATCGAAACAAATTTTGAGAAAAATATGCTTAAAGACTAGAAGTCATTAATGAAATTATAACTTGCAAAAGTTTTTGTTTTTCAAAATTTACATTTCAGTCCTTTACATGACAAGTGAAGGACATATTTCATCAAACAATTGAAGTGATGTGGCACACAATCAATTGTCCTTCATGCTACAATTAACTTGATTTCAGCATCGGCATTGTTTGGGCACCACCATATGTTTCTCTGGCGCAATGTTGCAGCCCACAAATTCTTGTAGCTATAGTCGAGATGTTTGTACATTATTTGCTGTAATTTACAATTGGTTCCAGTACAAAACATTTTTAGAGCAATTATGCTATGAATACAAAAGATTCACAAAATAAGACACAAATGTGAGTCAAAGGATGGTCCCACATGTGGGGTCCACTATATGTGAGACCCACCTCTTGTCTCACATCTGTGTCTTTTTATGAAAATTTTCTGTGCATTTAGACTTGCGCTTTTTTGAGGATCAATGCTTAAATTAGGCTATTGCAATTGGTTATTTGTTAAGGTATATATATTCTAATTTGCTTTCCATACTGCTTTTGACTTATGTTACTAATAAAGCTTTTCCAGTATATGGATTAATTGCTACGCTTGTTTCACATTATCAAAGGTGAATCTGACTAAATATGGTTACTATCTGCAACATCGAAACAGAGTATCTACAAAGTGGAAGAGCCACTGAGAAGTCAGATGTGTATAGCTTTGGAGTTCTCTTGTTAGAGCTTCTAACTGGGAAGAGACCCACCGATCCTTCTTTTGTAAAGCGAGGCCTAAATGTTGTTGGTTGGGTATGCCCTCTCCGAATTCCTCCTTAATATGCTCTGAGCCCGTTTTACAGAACTTATTTGCAACTTAAGTTGAAAAGAAAATAAAAAAAATGGAACACTATAACTTCAAAAAAGTTTTTTTTAGCTTATTTTGAGTTATCTGAGCTAAAAAAAAGCAAAAAAGTTGAATAGTTTTACCAAATTAACCTTCCAATGTGCAGTTGCTTAGGCATGGAATTTCAAAATTTAAGCTAAATAAGCTTCAAATAAGTTTTGCCAAATGGGATATCTATTTCTGTTGTAGATCTCATTTCCATTGCATGATAATGTCATTGCACAACAAGAATTCTTTGTGATGCCTGTGCTTTAAATGGTATAATGCATCCGTTTTAAAGTACAACTGCTTAAGCATGAAATTTCAAAATTTAAGCTAAATATGCTACAAATAAGTTTTGCGAAACGGGATATCTGTCTCCTTTATGCTTCTCATTTCCATTGCATGACGATTTCATTGCACAAGGAGAATTCTTCGTGATGTGTGCCCTTTAAACATTTTAACGCATTTTTTTTACCTTGAATTCACAGATGAACACTATGGTGAGAGAGAACAGATTGGAGGATGTAGTAGATAAGAAATGCACGGATGCAGATGTCGAAACTGTAGAAGCACTGGTAGAAATAGCCGCACGGTGCACTGATGCAACCCCTGATGACAGGCCATCAATGCAGCAGGTGCTGCAGTTTTTAGAGCAAGAGGTAATGTCACCTTGCCCAAGTGATTTCTACGAGTCCCATTCGGATTATTGTTGACTTGAACAAGTATTTTCGCAACGAAGGTTATATGGCGCATGTTGATTGTGCTAGATGTGTTGATCTCTCGGTGTTTTTGGGAGTTTTATGCCCCTAACTATGGGGCCTGTATATATTATTATTGTCTTGCAAACATTGAATGTTCATGTTGTTTTGAGCCTTTTTGTGCTGCGGATGATTCTCTTTTCTTTTTCCTCCATTGGTAGAATGGAAGTAATATGAAAATTATCTAGGTCAAATATCTGACCGAATCTGTTAGTGGTTGAAATCAATAATTCTACCGACACAGAATCAACTACATAAAATACGAGTAACCGTGGATCCATTATTTGATTTGCATGACCACTGTTATTTTCTGTAATCTCGGTTATGTGATTTGGTTCTATGGTCATAGAACAATTGGCATGGAATTTGAATTTTGAAAAGGGATGGCAATGGGTGGGGTATTTCTTTTAGGTTGTGCGAAATTTTGATTTTAAACTTAACTATTTCGACGAAATAATTTTATACTTCATCTTAATTCTGACAATTTTTACGTACCCTTATCATTTATCTTACCCTATCAATGCTCTCCCAATTATTATTTTTATTTATTAAAATTGGATTGGGATAAATACGATGGGGTCGTGATACTTTTTTTCATCTCCTTATTATAGGTGGTGAAGGTTCTTTTGTTTTTTGTGTCCTAAGCAGTGAAAGATAATTTATAAATATCATGAGAAGTATATCAAACTGAACAATTAGTTTTCTTTAAATCCAATAGATAACATATGATCACATATAGGGATTTGCCTAGTGTGATTTTGGCGATTTGAGAGAAAAATTATAAATTGAATGGTGGATTGACAGATTGTTAAATTGGTGTTTGAGTTGTTTTGGGCAGATTAAAGGATATTCTAACTAATTATTATATCTTTGCATAATATATAATATTTTTCATATATATAAAACAAATTAATTTTACATAATATTTTTCATATATATAACTATTAATTTGTAATAAATTTCACATATTAAATATTTTTTACATTCATTTTTATTTTGATATTTCATTATAGGTTGAAAAATATATATACATTAACTATAGAGGAGTGGAATGGTTTCGAAGGTAAATTATAAATTTTAAAATTTAAATCACGATTAGCGGATAGAGCGGTGCGGATTGATGCGGATTAGTGCGATTTTAATGAATTGAGCGGTATTTTGTATAATCATAATCACATGATAGACTTGATCTACAATAATTATGTATTTTTTGTTGTTGGATAAACACACGATCACATGATACACCTAATCTATCACCTAATCTATCAGATAATTTTTCGGTGGTGCATAATTTTACTTCTGTATCTATGGTTAACTTTTCTTGTCGTGGGTTTTTTTCCCACACATAAGCTCTACTAATTTTATTTTTTTTATATATTTTTTTTTTAGGTTGATGTAATCATAGAGTGGAAGAAAATGTTCCACAGAATATAGTGAAATGACAAAAACCCTTCTAAATACAGAGCATCCATTTCATGGGTTTGCTTTTCAACTCTCTCTTGCAAGAATCAAGATATCTTAAATAGTATTTAGATTTTAGATTTGTGGAGCAGGGGAAAAAAAAAAAAAATATCCTACCACAGATAGAAGATTTAATATTTTTGTTCTTTTTCTTAATTAACGTTTGATGGATATGATAATGGTTAACACCACTCAGCCAACAGAGCATTGATTGGTACAAAGTTAGTTTGATTGAAACAGACAAGAAGTCACCTTAATATCTGTTTTAATCAGGTAACAAATTGGGACAGTCTGTACTGGGGCACTCCCAAAAAAAACAAAGTAACATATTTTGTTTTTAAAAACTTAAGCGTCAGTAAAAAATTTGTTATATGACACTAGAATGTAATTAATTTATGCAATAGAGTTTATCATTTATATGTTAATGTTTTAACTAATAATATGCATGGGACTGGCCGGTGATTAGTGTGGCAATATCATGTGACAAGTTACAATTGGAGGGTGGGGCTGGGTTTGTGTTGTGCCCGCCCAACCCTACTCCTTGTCAAGGCGGTAATGAGGTGGTAAAAATTGAGGAAGTGGCAGCGGTGTGGTGGGATAATTTGACGCTGTTAGGAATAATTTGGAAAGTTAGTAAAACGTTAATTTTTGACCTCTCATATTTTTTACACATAAAAAGATAAAAATACAAAAAATCAAAAAACTAACTTTTTTTTTAATCAGCCCTAGAAGAGGACAATACTAAAGAGAGACATGATATAGCATACAAGTGGCAAAGATGAAAGATGAAATATAGAGAAATAAAAATTAAAATATATATGAAGTTTTTAATATTTTACTTTTGTTATATTTAACAAATTAATTATATATAAATATATAAACATAAAAAAAGGTATTTAATTGGTATAATCATGACAAGGAAAAATAGAAGGGGAAAAACAAATCGCATTCCCTCCCTATTTTCTTATTGGAAGGGAAAATATTCATGAGATAAGGTAGGAAATTTGAATTCAAGGTGGAATAAATTACTATCCCAGATTAAATTGTTACTTTTGAAAGAGGACCATAGATTTTCACTCAAGAAAAAGTTGATGTGACACAACACTGCGCATCAAATCATCCACATGCTCACAACAAATCCAAAATTTATTCGCTATCCAGCCCAACAAACAAACGATCTTTTGGGCTGTAACCTAAAAATCACATTTTTAATGGAAATGTCATGCATAGTCATATAAATTCCTGCACATCATCCGCAACCGATATGAGATGCAATAAACGTCAATTACTTTGATACATTTTTACAGAACAATTTAGGGCAAATATTAAACCTAACACATCTTCAAAACGTTACAACATAATTACTAATACACAACAAACTTCTAGTACAGATTTAAGTTCTTTACTTAGATTCCACACAACAAACAAGTTCAGCATAAAGAAAAGTCCCATTGAAAAAAAGATTACACAAAAGGGGCAAAAAACACACCATTTCCAACCGACACCAAAACCTACCATGACATATTGAATGGGGTTGGCATCGATTGGATTTATTCCTTCTAGAACTAACCACTGTAGCATGCTTGGAAAGACGAGTCAAGAAAGACACGTACAGTACAATACATACCGAGAGTAAATTTTCAGTTAGACCAGAACTCAAAGGTGTGATCTTCAACCGGGAAACCAAAGTAACAAGAATTGGCAGACGGGTCAGGATAACCGCCATCATCAATCTTTGGATACAAGTATGCTGGAGGAGGCAACAAGTTCTTGCAAAAGTGATCCTCCTCATCCTGAGATAGATCTGACTGGTCAGGTTCGAAAACATATGATGAATCGCCTGGCTCTAAGAGAGAGGAGTGACTACCATCAAGATGACATGGGCTGCCTGAATCCAGTTCATCACTTTTAGCCGATGTAAGATCATCCTGCTTACAAGCTGCAATTGAAATTTTGGATACTTCATCTTCAGAAACTGAATCGGCAGTAAGTTCTTGCAGTGGTGCTTCAGATTGGTTCTTGGTAAGCAGCTCATCTGTGAGGTGAAGAACCTGAAAGGACACGGAACGATTATACAAGCATTGTCCAAAAGTAGGGCTGCAAATGAACCGACTTACTCACAAACTCGGCTCGGGAACGGCTCGACTCAGCATGGTTTGTTACATATATAAACAAATCAGAACCAGATTTTTAGGCTCGTTTGAGCTAGAATAAGCTCGGCTTACTTATTATTTATTGAAATAACAGAATAATATTTAATGAGCCAACCGGGCTTGATTATGGAGCTGAACTTTTTTCATTATTGAGTATCAAGCCGAGCTAAAGCTGGATTAATTTTTGAGCAAAGCTCAAGCTTGATTTTCAAGCTCGATAAACAAATGAGCAGAGCTCAAAGCTTGGCTTGGCACAACTCGTTTGCAACTTTATCCAGAGCAAATCAACAATTCTAATGGAAGATGTTCCTAAAATCAAGTCATTACCTTAGCTTTTAGTTTATCCTTCTCCTTAACGAGGCCATCGTAGTCAGCCTTGAGGCTGTTGTAGCTAGCTTGCAGTGCCTCATAATCCTTCTCTAGGTGTTTTGTCTTCCACCTAGCCCGGCGGTTTTGAAACCATATTGCAACCTGCCTAGGCTGCAAACCGAGATCCTTTGCCAGCTGGATTTTTCTTTCTGGTTCAAGCTTGTTGTCTGCCTCAAAATTCCTCTCAAGAAATTGGACTTGGTCAGGCGTAAGCCGCCTCTTCTTTTCGGGTTGTTGGAAGTATTCATCCAACTCATCATCTTCATTATCTTCTTGATCAAATGAGCAGAAGAACGATCTTTCCGATCTTTTTCCCAAATTGCCATCTTTAAAGCTAACCATGGAGCTCGAACCTAATTCAGAGACAACCAAACAATATTAACTCTATTTTGTAACCACAAAGCATATGCCAAAACCAACAACCCATTCCTTAGATTGCTAGTCTAACAAATACATATATGGACTGTCTGCATAAGGTACCCAAACCCTTGTCGATATGGGTACTTCAGCAAAAATTAAAGTGTCCATGTAACATAGCTTATAGCCTGTTAGGTCTATGGCAGAAGTTTTTAATTCCTTTACCTTCAGTTTACAATAACATGTTTTTGACAAGTCTAATTCTTTAAGAGCAAAATTTAAATGTACTACCATCAGACACATTCACAAATTAATCAGAGCATTTTGTGTAGGGGTGATAAACGAACCAAACAGTTTGAACTCGACTCATGTTTGGTTCATTTGAGCTTAGTTCGTTAAGTAAACAAATAAAACTTGACACATTTTGGGGGTTGTCAAAATTTTTAAATCAAGTTTGAACAATCAATTGCTCGTTTGGCTTGGTTCTATAAGCCTAAAACTACATAAAAATACCAAATTACTTGAGCTCGGCTAGACAAAAGCTTGCTTGAGATCAACTTGAGAGTTTAATCAAACCAAGCTTGAAATTTTTTTTGAAGCTCGTTAAAATTTTCAAACCATGCTTGAACAGTTAAACTATTCGGCTGGATTGGCTTGCTTATCACACCTACAGTTGGGAAAGACCATACAATACACTATGACTATCCTTCTCAATTCAAACATAAACCAAACCAACCAGATCAACCACCCAGATATCAATCACAGTAAAGAGCAAATTTATTGAATCAAATCTTATGCAATGCATTAGATTATAAGGAGAAGTACTGCAACTTTGTGTTCTTGTTATAAGTTTTCCGGAAATGAAAACATAACAACTTAGTTATCAACTTACTATTTACGAATCACCAAAAAGTAAACTTTGAATTTTCAAAAGTTGTTGTTGAACAAAAATAAAACGTATGAAAACAACGCGTATTTTCAAAAATATCATCGTTATTGCTTCCAAAAACACCAAAACAAATAAAGAAAACAAAAACACAACCAAACATGCCCTTCATTTTTGCACACAAGCATAAACACAAAGTCAACGACAGTACGCTGATCAAATCAAAACAAGAACATTAAATTGGGCAATAATTTCCTTGTCATATATCAATTATCAAGAGTTAAAGACAACATAAAAAGCAAAATCAGATGATAAATATCACAATTCACAAAACTACTGATAAAAAATGAACCTAAAAACAGAGTAATCAACATCCAAACAAAAACCCATCGAATAAAATCAAATCTAAAACCAGATCTTCCCAATTCCCATCAACCCCACGCATATGAACAGCGATCGAATCACAAAAATCAATATAAAAAAAGAAAGAAAAAACATAGAAAATTACCGAGGAAAGAAGGGGAAGAGCCAGAGAGGAACAGAGAATTAGGGGATTGAAGCAAAACAGTATTGGAATTGGAACCAGCGACAGAGGCGGCGTAGACCACCCTCCGAGCCGCCATGGATTCTTCGAGGATTAAAAAAGGGGGGTTGGGTCAAGCAACCATAAATAATGGGTATGAAGATCAGATTGTGCTGATTTTCAATCCGATAATGGGTTTTTGTATATGTATGTATATATATGATTTTTATCAATGGGTATTTTTCAGAGCTTGTGTCGGAAGAAGCTGGTGATGATGATCTCGGTGATGTGGGAAGTGTGGGAACATCGGCTGCTGCTCACACCCATCATCACCTAGCTCGGAAGACGATGAACAGGTGGAAGAAGAAGAAGAAGTAGAGAGAGAAGGTATTGATTGAGGGTTGGGATGAAAGTGAGATTGTAAGAAAGACGTGAGTTTCCAGAGGGGATAGAGAGAGAGAGAGAGAGATATAGAGAGAGAGTTTTTTCCTTTTTGTTTTTTTTTTTGGTGAAATGAGGAGGTCAGACCTTTTGATGGGTTTGTGAACTTGTGATAGTGGGTTAAGACCCCGTTTGGCCTCAATTGTTGTTTTTTTGTTTTCTTTCTATTTGTTTAAAATATGAATTAATTATTGTGATTTAAAAAATTATAAATATTTTATTGTCATAATTTCTATTTAATAAAATTAATTGTAAAAATAATGTTTTAAAATAATATTTTTATATATAATAATAAAATTATCTAAATTATTAATTAAAATAAATTTCTAACATTATTAAAAATTATAAATTGACTTGATTTTATTATTAAATTGAGCAATTTGTTATAAATTAAAATTTTCAAAAAGTGAATTTTTATATTTTTTTATTTATATTTTTGGTATAGAGTTAATTTTTTAAATATTCTTTTCACAAATATTAACTTTTTAAGTGTATTTATGTTAAGTGTGTCTAAAAATTTTTAAAAAAATTCATAAATATTTAAAAAAATTAATGAAAACAAAAAAAATTACAAAAAATAAAAGTAGAATTTTTTGAAAAGTAAATTCTAGAAATGGAAACCAAACAGAGTGAATATTATTCATTTAGATAAGCAAATAAGAAGAAAAAAAAAATAGAGTGAAATGAGAAGAAATTGAGAGAAACTCAACTTGTTTGTTTTCACTTTTCAAGATTTATTTTTCAAAAAATTAAAATTTTTTATTTTTTGCATTTTTTTGTTTTCACTGAATTTTTTTAATATTTTAAGCATTTCTTTTTAAAATTTTTAGATACACCTAACATAAATAAACTTAAGAAGTAAAAAATTTGTAGAATTTTTTTTAAAAATCACTAAATACCATAAATACAAAAAAATATATAAAAATTCAATAAAATTTTGAATTCTTTTATATTTATTGATTTTTTAAAATATATTTTTACAAATATTTTACTTTTTAGATACATCTAAGTAAGGTGCATCTAAATAATTAAAAAAATTGCTTAAAATTGCAAAAATATTCGCTAAAAATAAAAAAATATGAAAAATAAAAAACTCAATTTTTAAATAATTAAATCTAAAAAATTGAAATCAAACACAATGATTTATGTCATAACCCATATTTTAAAATTTTCCAAAAATAGAGAGATTGGAAAAGAAATGAAAAACCAGCTAAATATTATTTTATTATAATATCCAAATTACCTTTTCACATATAAAATAAACAACCTTGCTACACACCCCCACTGGGGGTCGACCCCCAGTGACGTGGGCTTCCCCCATTGGCCAGTTTTTTGTTTTTTTTTTTTTTCTTTCCTTCCAATCCCGCAGTGCCACGTGGCACTGGAGGTCACTGGGGATGGCTTTTACTGGGAGGCTCGCGCATTTCTGTAAAATAAATGAAAGGACCAACTCTTATAAATGCTAATTAATAATATAACACGATATCATTTCATTTAACCAAATAAGATAATCAATAATATCTTTTGTTTTATTGTCTCTCCTGTTTATCCAATAATAGGGAGACAAATTATAATATATATTTTTTGTCTTCAAATCAAACTTACATAATCATTTTTTTCCGATTCTCTCATGAATTTCCAAACATTAGTATATAAGTTTGAACCATTGGTAGAACAATTCACTTCCATGAATTTCATTCCAGAGTAACTTGAAAAATATTAAGAATCTCAAATATTTTATCCAAGAACCGTGCTAAAGGCCTCGAAATTGGAGGCGCGAATTTGCCTCGAAAAGTTGTTTTGTCTATTTGTTTGTTTTTTTTTTTTTTTTTTTTTTTTGGTTTGGGTTTTGTTTTTGGTTTTTTTTTTTTTGAAAGGTTTTTATGTGTATCTTAAAACCTAAACCCTAATAAAAAAATAAATAAATCAACACAGTCCAACAAATAAAATAAAATAAAATAAAACCAACATAGCCCAACAAATAAAAAAAAAAAAAAAAAACAATTGGGTTAGATTGATTGGGTGATAAAATTGACTGATCAGTTAAACTGCTAGTTAAAATTTGTTAATTTCATATAATTTTGTACGAGTCCTTACTATATTTTTATTTCATAAAAGAAAGACTCAGAATAAATAAAAACCTAAACCTTAAATCCTAAACTCTAAACACACCCCTACACATAACCATGCTTTAAAAATAAATAAATAAAATTACAACAGCCCAATAAATAAATAAAAACAACCAAACTAACACAACCCAACAAATAAAAAAATAAAAAATAAATAAAAAAAAAACAACAAAACCAACACAATTTGAAAAAAAAAAAAAAAAAAAAAAAACGATTCGAGCCACATTCGAGGCCTCAATCTTTTTCTTTTATCCAATATCCTACATAAGTACGAAATCAACACAAGTTCTATATAAATCTCATTTAATAAAGCATTTAAAATCCTTGACATTCCTTAGTAACTTTGCTTCCATTCATACTCCTCTCACAATTTTTTATTGTACAAAACAATTCTTTATTATAATTATAGGAAAAACGGTTTTCAATGCCATAAATCTATAAATATTTCTTTTTCATCAAAGTCAAACGATTCCATATATATTAAAAAATTTAGGAAAAAGCTTAAGGATAGAAAACTTTATGGAATATAAACTAAAAATTATCAAGGATTCAATTTTATACTCAAAAATTATATAAATTTCTACTGTACAAAATAAGTGTATACATACTTTGATCTATGATAGTATGAAATCCTCTTTTAAGAAAGAGAAACCTTGAATGGAAGACATTAATCTTTAAGTTCTTTACTTGTCTAAGGTCTTCAAACTACTTCTCTCTTTCTAGGCGATGGGAGCCTTCTTGTGGTGACAACTTGAGTTTTGTGATGGAGAGTATGGTTTGGGACCTTACATTATTTATACTAGTATTCTTCCCATCAAAGAATCCATTTATTCAATGAACTTTATTAAATAGATTAATGTATCTTTTACATTCATGATACACAATGCATCTTCTATATTAATGAACTCATTAGATAGATTAATATATCTTCTACATTCATAATAGATACATAATGCATCTTTAAAATTCATTCATAATAAATCTATCACATTCAATGCTTTGACACTATCTCCAGTAGTCTTCTATACATTATGTATATATAGATGCATTCATCAATAATTAGTCATCATCTAATTGATGTACATGTATCTTGCTTAATGAGATGAATCTAATATAATCATACATAAGCCACATTTAGCCATATTTAGGAAAAATTCTTACAATCTCCCACTTGGCTTGCATGATTATATTACGTTATTAGATTATCATAATATGGCTAACGTTCTCCCACCAGAAGATTGCACCATCACCATTAGATTCTGTTCAATGAAATTATTAGCACCAAATCATTGTAGTCAGTGATTTACACATTGATCAAGACTGTACAATGGTTATAGTGTTAATATATTCCATCAACATGAATAAGTGAATCTTAAATCACAGAGATGACATTAGCAACATAATGGAGATTAATGCTAATTCATCTATAATGGTCCCGTTGTTTATATCTTCTTCTAAATTGTGCACAAGATGAAGAATGAAAACAACAAACATAATCATTACTAACATAAGATGATTATAACACAACAATTATCATACACTCATTTCAAGTCTAAACATGATAACCTTTCTACTAAGCCTATGCGCGCAACATGTTCTTGAAATAGCTTAGGTGCGAGACCTTTAGTTAAAGGATCTATCAACATGAGTGTAATGCCAATATGAGAGATGAAAACAGTCTGATTTAAAACCCTTTCTTTAACAACTAGATACTTGATATCAATATGCTTTGATCCTCCTGAAGTTTTGTTATTATTGGAGAACCAAACAGTAGCATCATTATCACAGTAAATCTGTAAGAGCCTTGAAATTGAATCGACAAATTGTAATCTAGATATGAAATTCTTTAGCCATACTGCATGACATGTGGCTTCATAACATGCTATGAATTCTGCCTCCATAGTGGAAAAGGCTGTCAAAGACTGCTTATGACTCTTCCATGAAATGGGTCCAATATCAAGCATAAAAATGTACCCAGAAGTGGACTTTCGAGTGTCTTTACATCCAGCATAATCAGCATCTGAATAACCAATTACTTCAAGGTTGTCTGTTCTTTGATAAATGAGCATGTAATCCTTAGTGCCTTGTAAATATTGCAACACTTTCTTAACTACTTTCCAATGATCAAGTCCGTGATTGCTTTGGTATCGACCAAGCATACCAACTACAAATGCTATGTTAGGACGTGTACAAATTTGAGCATACATAATGCTCCCAACTGTAGAGGCATAAGGAATTTTTTTCATTTGTTCCCTTTCTAAATTATTTCTGGGACACTGAAATTCACTAAATTTATCACCCTTAACTATAGGGACAACACTACTTGAACAGTTCTGCATGTTGAACCTCTTAAGAACCTTTTTGATATGGCTCTTTGGGACAATCCTAAAATACCACGAGACATATCTCGGTGAATTTCTATCCCAATGACAAAAGAGGCTTCACCAAGATCTTTCATTTCAAAATTTCTCGTAAGGAATTTCTTTGTCTCATGTATCATTCCCAAATTATTGCTAGCAAGCAATATATCATCAACATACAAAACTACAATGTAGATAATGCTCCAATTGATTTTAAGGTAGACACATTGATTAACCACATTATCCTTAAAATCAAATTTGGTGAGAACATCATGAAATTTAAGATATCATTGTCGAGATGCCTGCTTTAGACCATATATGGACTTCTTAAGCCTACAAACCATATTTTCCTTTGCTTTCGTCCTGAAAACCTTCAGGTTGGTTCATGTAGACCACTTCATGCAAGTCACCATTTAAAAATGTTGTTTTAATGTCCATTTGATATAACTCTAAATCATAATAAGCTACTAAGGCCATGACTATTCTCAAGGAATCCTTATTAGAAACAAGAGAATAAGTTTCATCATAGTCTATCCCCTCTCTTTGAGTGTATCCTTTAGCAACTAATCTGGCCTTGTATCTTTTG